GACCCGTTTTTACCTTTTTGGACTCCCTTGTAATCCTTTCCTTTCCTTGTTCTTTATCACTCAACAACTTATTCAATTTTTCGTTTTCCCTGAGGAGGTGAGCAATTACATCGCTGGCACTACTGACACTAGTACTTGCATTGTCGAGGCACATGTCAGTGCTTGAACCTTTTGTAGTTTGGCCACCACCAGTCCCATTCTGCCCAATATTGGTGAACTCCAGTCCCATTCTGCCCAATATTGGTGAACTCAGTAGTAGACCTCTTACGGTTATTTACCTGTTTTGTTTCTACATCCAAACCTCTTTTGTTCAGTGTCATTGACCTGGTTTTTTTACCCTCGGTTCTTGGTTGTTGACTTTTACGGGTGTTCATGTTTACGGAAGCTTTGTTTTTCCAAAATGAGTGCTTTTAACGTGATTTCTGATCATCTGTTGTTTTTCTGAGAGCTTTGGTTGGTGGGTTTACCACCAGCATCACCAATCCACCGTCATGCTCTCTTCTTATACTGTCCTACAGCAACCCTGCAGTGCCGCGCCAATTTTTTAATACATGTTTTGTGGTAAGTAGTTGTACAGAATTTTCCTACTAGGACATCAGTAAACCAATTATTTTTGTTATCCCTACTACTACTAGTAGTACCACTTGTTTCACTGTAGCAGGCACAACAACATGCAGTATATTTAGTAATTTAGTACTAATAGTAGCTAAATTCTTTGTAATGGAACAAATTAAGATCTATTAGTTGTTCTTTTGATGGTTTGGGTTGAAAATCCCACCACATTGATTGGGACAAGATTTGGTCAGTATTTTGGTAGGGGTTGAAAATCGTAGGGTTTGGTTCTACAAAATTAAGTTACATCTTAACAGTGAGTACATCACTTCACATACTATCGATTGGTCCTTGGTAGGGGTTGAAAATGGTGGGGTTGGGTTCTACGGAATTCCGGTACATCACCATGAGTACAACCCACCACTTCGATTGGCCGAAGAAATGATTGGTCTGTCGGTTTGGGTTGAAAATCGTTGGGTTGGGTT